ACCCTGTTGCAACTAAATGTTTTAGGAGCATTTTTGAGCGGTCACAGCGACATCTGAGACACATCGATGGCTGACTTGAGACTTGTGAGGCCTTGTTAAGGCATAATAAGACGTCTTGTGGTCAATGGTGGCAATTTTTGCGAGTATTAATTATAAACAGTTCTAAATTGGCTTTCACTCGCAAACCCCAAGGTTGAAGAGTATCTAGAGACCAAGACGACTTTAGAAACTGCTGAGATCACTTGACACCATATTTCACTAGGTGCTTTTTCTATATCCAAAAATGGCCAAGTATCTTAGGCCTACTTTTATTTTTTAAAAATGGGCATTTGACCATTTTTGGTACATAAAAACAGGACTAAACATTAATTGTCAGGCAGTGATGGTTTGTTGAAACCGCTATACCTGCATGGTTGACACAATAAATATGGTTGTTTGTGGATGTGTTTAGGTGGGGTTTGCATGTCCTGCTATCAGTGATTTAATAGGTCTCATAGTGCCGTTAAGACACATACGTGTACGCAAGACCTTTAACATTGTCCTCGCGTACCCGAGGAAATCTGACAATTTTCCAATAACAGGCGATATCAGCAACCGCATTAGGTATAGTCATCGCTTTATGAAGTCCTTTAGTCATATGAAGCATGTAGTCTTTCAGCAAGACCACACAGACAGATCGATATTCTTTTGAAAAAATTCTGAGAAAGACGATATTTGCAACAACAAATGACCGGCCCATTGAACACCAACCGCGGTCTTACTAATGGCATATGGTTTAGTTTAGAAGGTTTTTCAATAATCATTCTCGAATGATTTCTTTTCAACTGCCTTAATTGTTTCATCATCGCGACCATTTTCGTTTTTATCCTCATCATTGCTATCTTATTCTCTTTATATTATAACATATTTAAGTTATCAAAACCACTCTTGCACAAAATAAGGAAATACTTTTTTCCTCAAAAAGGATTTATTTCAATAACAGCATGAGATTCGTTAGCGTGTATTGTGGTCAATTGGCATCAGCGTCAACACTACCGTAGTTTACATTGACAATGGCATAGGCTTACAGATGAAACTAATTATTCCTACAAACAAATCACATATCTTTCGAATTAATCATTCTAGTACTGTGCCACTGTTCACACTCATAGTATTTTTGCGTTTTTGTTTTCAAAACAAAACACGCAATGTAATACTTAAAAATGTTCGCAATAGGCCTAACCTCTTTTAATACAAATCTTAAATCAAATATAAGGGCTATACCAAGAAGCATATTAATCTGATGATTTCGGAGTAAATTAGAAAAATGACATTAACCCACCACTACATGACTGAAAGTAGTGCAGTACACGCTTTTTCTTTTATTATGGTTAAGTTTATTCACATTAATACTCCAATTACGCGCAATTAGGATTGTTCTGAGAATGCACAAAGAGAATGTCCACGTGTTTTAAACACATACTATATTGGAAAAGTAATCGAGTCTTAAACGACAGATGGGCAATAGTCCAAGTAGGAATTGCAAACCCCTAATTTTTTCTTTAAATATCTTTGCAATAAATTGGGAAATTGGTGTTTTTTCAATTAACTTTGACATTGGAACGACATCAAGCATGGTATTGAAACGTCATTCATTTTCCGGAACATATGTGTGGTGTCGTTAAAGCAATCGTGTAACACTTAGATTGGGTTTGGACAGTGCAGACGGGGAGCGGTTGTAATATTGTCTACAGTAATGAAGTTTTCCTCTCCGGCCGAGGGAATGTCCCTGCTGAGAACTTATTTCAAGGAATTCCAATAAAACGAAATGGAAACGTGCAACTTTACACGCGAAGAGCAACTGATCATGAAGATGCGGCTTATTAACCTCCACTGAAGTTAGAGTTAATTTAGGATAGGGGACTCACTAACTATTGCTTAGAAATTGAACAGGTTTTCAAAAAACAGTTATCTATGTTTTGCAATTAACCCCCCCCCCCAAAAAAAAAGGAAAAAATATAACTCTTTTTAAAAAAATTATCACAAATGTGATTGACACCTGTGTGGTTACTTTTTAAATGCATATAAATAGCACCAGCTGTTCTTATAATGTAAATTGCACGCTCCTGTCATACCTGAAGATGTAATAACATTTCGACATCGCAAAGTACCATGATAACTTATCCACGAATATAGAAGAGCCGTGAATCAGAGAGTCGCTTTCTATTAGATATCTTAGCGCTTATGTTGAAGGATATAAACTCGATGTGTTAAAAAAAGAAGATGAATTATTCGTTTTAATGTAACAGACAATATCAACTCCTCTAACAGTCCCAGTGCATTTGGAAATTTTATGTCCCGGTTCAATAGAGCGTATGCAATGTACTGCTGTTCGTTCCTAAATTCATTTCCTTCTCTGCCCAATCAATTTCATCCATTGTACTTTATGAATATATCTTCTAATAGAAATTTCCCCCTCTGTGCAATGTTCTTTGTGGATATTTGATTGGATGAAGATAAGAGCAGTCATTTATATAACTTTTATCTTTAAGCAGTTCTTTGTGAGTTTTCTTGCTATTCATGTAGCTACATGTGGTATATAAAGTTGCGGACTTACTAATACTTGCTCTTAGCCAGAAATAAACATTCATAATAGAATGTACCAACTGTCTTCGCCGCCTGAGTATGTGCAATAGCTCAGAGCATTGCTCAATGATGTGACGGGCAATGTTCATTCATGCATTGTTCATGCATTGGTATAATGGCATTAACTGATTTAACGAAATACTCGAAATAAGATTTATCATTCAGAACAGCGGACTAACAGACCCGCGGATCAAATACGGCGACATACTTAATAGCTTGCCCCTGATTCCCGATTAGGCACTAAATAGATTCCCCACAGGGATTACGCAACAAGCATTCAAGTGGGTCGGCCATATTTGATGCGCGGATCTGTTAGTTCGCTGTTCTGAATCCGCTTTAAGGCACCATAGTTATTTCAATACAGGGTCACTACGGGAATATTTGGGAATCATTTTTCTAACTTTGATATGAACGCAACGGTTCTATTTTATCTTCAGTGATTCGACGGCACTTAAGTCAGCTGTGTCCCTTTGGAATTACATTCACAACTCCTTCTATTACCAAAGATGGTCATTTGTCAACATTAGCCAACGCACTCATTTCTTACTCGAGGACAATCATGATTAAATAGATTCTTTTAAACGGGTGTTTTGTCGAACTGTGAATAAAAACATTTAGCAATGTCCATGGTGCCTTGGTTTGAGGATGACGATTATGTAAAAACGTTTTAGCAGGGGGCGTTCCCATATTAAATTTGCTACATGTACAACCACACCTTGTGATGGCATTGCCCAAATCCAATGCCATACACTGTGGGACAGCAAAAGAAAAATCTTAACTGAACTCTTTACTCCTGCTCTGGCAAAAATGCTTAGCAAAGACAATGCGCAGCATTTCATGAACTATGGTGTACTCAACCAGAGATCAAATCCTGTTCTTTCGTAGGCAAGCACTGTATCGTTATGGCCGGTAGCTTACACTAAAGTTGTGTATGTCTACAGAGTGATTTATATGTCTATTGGTTATTTTTGTGTTTCCGTTTTTTACAATTTCAAATGATACACGGATACATTAATGGTTCGCATCAAAAGATAGCAAATGGATCGTTTGTAGTACACTATTTAATGTGCTGTGCAGCAGAATTCTAAAGCAATACTGCTACACTTCGCTAAAAGAACGCGCATCTTCAACGAGGCGCCCGATCATATATTTTGTTATCTTACTACTAATTAATAGATTACTTGAATACTGTATGATACATTATTATTTAAGTTTTCGTTAAAGTCACTTTTGTTTCAGAAGGATATATCCCAGACACATCTTTCTCTTTAACTTCTCCAATTCTATCCGTGGATTTCAAAGCTAACAAAACAGTAGCTCCTGTTACGGTTTATTATAAGGAGCGGTGTATGACGAAGGCACTTAATCTTTAACTAAATGGAACATAAGTACATTCGTGTTCTTATATAGCGTCTAAAGCCTAAACCCAGTAAACCATTACAGCGACCGCACTATCAAATCGATCGTGATTCACTTCGTTTGAGATAATCGAGAACGTTGTAGTAGGAGCACTTCAATCTATTGATATTAGTACTGCTTGCCAAGAATAAGGTTTGCTGATATTTAAACTTTGCTTCCTTGTGGTAAGAAGATAGAGAACAGAATATCACATAATTGGAATGACGTATTAATAACATGGCAAACGACTATAATATCCTGTAACACAACCACTCAGCTTTAATAATACGTGACATTAACTGTATCAAGCCTAATGAACGCCTTCGGGGTTGTGTTGATGGATAAATGCTGCGATATTCTTTAGACTTAACCCCTAAGATTTGCTTCGAGCCCTGAAATACAGGAGTTGCCCAAAAAAATTGCATGAAATGCGATTTTGTAAAACCTAGAATGTCAAATGAAAACTTGTAGATCAGATATAAAGAACATCACGCCTATTAGATAACAGTTTGCATGCCAAAATATCAAGGAATTATCAATATATCTTGTACACTGTTCAATATAATTTTTTTCGATCAGAAACACGAAATGGTATCATAATTTAGTTGTGGTCAAACAGACGTAGATGGGTTTTGTTTACCACTAAAGCGCCCCACTAAAGTCATAATCATGTAAAGACAGCAGGGGTGATTTTTGTAAAAATAAATCAAATTCGAGATCACGCACGGAGGTTAACAGCTGGCATTGAAATTTGGTAGGACAACCAAAGGTGAGTAAATGGTCTGGAAATGGCTTTCTTTCTTTTTGAACTAATGAATCAATAACATGAAGTTGGCAATGAAAAATATCGATAGCGCGATCAAGAGCCTTTTCGTGGATAATTTCGCAATATGAATTTGCCCCATTGCCTTAAGATATTATAAATATCATCATATACATATCATTGAAATAACTCACATATAGCTAATCTGTCTTACCTAATGGTAACACAAAGAAGAATGGAAACCAGCAGAGAATGAAAACCCCTACGACAATTCCAAGCGTCTTGGCCGCCTTTTTCTCTCGCCTAAACTTCGCTATCTTCCCCAGTAGGGTGTGTCTGCTGTGTTGTCGCCTACCGAATTCGAAAGGCTGGTTTCGACTACTAACACTGGAAGTTCTACTCCTACTGTCAGTGTCCTTTGTTTCCCGCCAGGCATGACTGTGGTGGTTACTGTTAGGATGGGTTATCATGGAACCATTTTTGTGCGGGGAGTCACATACTTTTGTCTCGGCACCTTGCTTGCTCCGTACATGTACGCGCAAAATAACATCTTTACTTTCGTCTCCGTTGTCGTCTGTTGACGAGCCTTTATATCGTTTGTACCCTGTTGATAGAAATGTTGACTGTCTGATCGCTGCCTTATAAATCTTATAGTAAACACCGACTATAATCACCATGGGGATGTAAAAAGAGCCTGAGACGGAGAAAATGACGTATCCAGTTTGAGTAGTAACTGTACAAACACGTTCGTCCGGATCCGCCGGTTCTTTCCATCCTATTAAAGGTCCGAGAGATATCACCAACGACAGCAACCAAACAAGAACCACTATCAATGCCGCCCGTCGTTCTGTTATTATATAACAGTGTTGTAAAGGTTTTGACACTCCAATGTATCTGTCCACGCTTATGACACACAATGTCATTATGGAAGCAGTACAACACAACACGTCAACAGCCGCCCATATATCACAGATTGCCCGTCCAAATGCCCAGTAATTAAGTATTTCCAAGCTGGCCGAAAAAGGCAGGACAGCGATGCCTAAGAGAAGATCCGCCAAAGCAAGATTCATTATGAAATAATTGGTGGCACTTCGTAAATGTGAATTCAACGCGACGGCCAGTAACACTAAGACGTTCCCAGATATCGTCATTGTGACGATAAGGCACAGGCACAGGCCAACCAAGGTAGCATACTCAATGTCCACTGTTACTGTCTCGTTATAGACATCTGAAACATTTCCAACTGAGCCGGTAAAAATCTCCATTGCATCCTTGGAATAGTCAAGAAACAGGAATATAATATCAATTAAATGTTACAACACAGTCCGTAGGAACTTCACCTCTGCCATGTAAAAGGAACGATTCCTTAAGGTGTTTCTGTGTCTTTTGTAAATGATGAAGTAGGACCTATGCTGCGAGGTACGTCTTGAACATAGATTCCCTTCCACGCGATTGGATTGCGCAGTATACGGCGAAGTGTAAAACACATTCAGCCGCTCGTTTTATTGGCCTCACCTGGAAAACAGGAAATTTAAAAAGGTCAAATTAAAGCCTGACCACACATGACTAGAAATACACATTGGCTGACTTTGTAAGTTTTCCTCTTATTTTGCTCAAGTGGCGACATAAACGTCATTGAGGCAAAGAACCCATATGTCTAGTAGAAAATCAGGAACACAACAATATCTTCAGACGGAATGAAATTGTAGAGGACTGTTATCAAAGTGATGCGCTGCTGTTTATTTATTCATTTATTACAGGGCATAAGATCAATTCAAGAGCAGCATATGTTTCGGAATATTCCATTCCTTTTTTGAATATCAAAATAGGTTTCGAAATAGCAGGCTGTATTGGTAAAATAGTAAACAAATATAATCTCACGTTCTTCGGGTATTTTAGAAGAGATATTTACTTAAAAGTCATTATATTGTATCTTAGTCTTAACTGGTGAAAAACGTGGGTTTTCTAATGGGTTATTTTATGACCATTTCGTCATAAAAAACCAACCCTACGTCTCGACATACGGTTGGTATGTTGCATACATCATGAACGCTGTCAAAACGAGTATATGACTGAATTTTAATAAAAGCTGGTGAAAACACAGTTTAAATACATTGAAAATGAAATACCCATTCAAAATTATCTCGTTTTCACTGCAAAGTGAACTATTTGTGGTAACAGTCTCTCGACAGATAGATATCTTTGACGGATTGAATGATTGGTTTATCGCTTCCAATGTCGTCCGTATACAGGAACATATTAAAAACAAGTCTTTGTACAAGAGACAGTTGTCCATTGGAAGTGATGTACATGGCCTGAAAGAAAGCAAACATATTACATAAGTCAAAACACTAACGACATATTCGACAACTCAAAACGACCGATAAAGATGTCACAAAAGTACACACTGGACACACATTTATGAACAAATGACAGCATAGTTGAACCAGGAAACTCTGTTTCACCCGGTGGACACTTGGAAAAGGTGGGTACGAGTATTTGATTTGATTAATGCTAAGTCAAATTTATATCTTCGATTCAATGTATAATATCATTATAATGGGTTCCGAGTAAATTCCTATGAACCTTAGCAATAACAATGTCAAATATACATCATAAGGTAAATAAGGTTATGGATATGAGTTATTTTTATGTTACAAGCCAATAGAAACATTAGACGAACTGCGACAAGCTAGTTATATTACGTGTACGCGCGCCCCTGCATGTACATACAAACACACATGGATGAATACACATATGCCTTTATGTTGGATCACACTATCAAAGTGCCCACCCACCTTGAACTTGTGTCTATTATAACATGTTTTCCAACTCAAGTTCAGTTTATAGTACAGTGTTATCTCTAAATATTAGATCAAGATGTAGAATCAAGGGTTGTTCATTTACTAAATGTTCAGTCAACTTACTTGGGTAATCCATCACGCGACTCAGATCAGCTAATAACGATGCCTGGTAGATACTCGCAAAAAGACGAAGGATGATACAGCCGTAAAGTACGAGAAGCACTGTGAATCAGAACCCAACGTCCCAGCCCCCCCCCCCAACCCCACTTAACTGCGACCGCCTCCATTTTCCAATGATTTACGAAAGCGTCCTGTTTCCTAGGTGAAGTATTTAGGTGCTAAGTCGCCATTCACGTGACCAAGGTTCATAAATGGTGGATTGAAACGTCTGTAAGAGAAGTACTGTTTTATCAGTAGTCTGAGTGTATATATGCAAGAAATTGCAGAAGATTGTGTTACTATTGTTTTTTTTTCTAAAATTATAATAATAATTCATCAACTTCAATTTGAGAACAATCTTAATAGTCTTATCCTCACAACGAATCAATGGCCATGTTTGTCATGACTGCAAATGGATATTTCCGATTACCATATCTAAGGGAAAAGTAGCAAACTGAATTTTGCCATATAAGGGAAATGAACTTTTTCCGTCATACGTAAAAGAGATGTTGGTCCTCTCTTAATTGGATTTATAAGAGGTTATGCAGAGATTTCTACAAAATAAGTATCAAATACAGCCAAAGTTTTCTTAATTTGACCCGGTCAAACACAGCTTTATTTATGACATTGTTTGAATTATTGCTACGATGTATGTCATGTCTGAAAATACTGCAAAATAGCACATACTACATATAATCATCTATACCATAAATACGAAATTCACCTTTCGACAATCACCTGTCTTTGGTAGTCGATGAATAATGCAATTTGTAATGTTGAAATTTGTTGAAATTCAGTAGGCCTACCACGCACTCAGCGGGATTGCAAAGGGAAGAAACGGCCATATAGATGCACAGGTTTCCAAAACTAGCCAGTGAAGTGTACTTGAAGAAGCAGAACGCAGAATCGATTGCGTAATTAGGCGAAAACCCCTAAATTCTGTGTTGCTCATCACCCATGATATTTTTTAGAAACGTGTTCATGTGAACTGACATCAACAGATATAAGTTTTAACTTGTATGCCGCAGGCTTCTCGATTAGAGACAGACAACTGTAAAATAATAAGAGCACGCGCCTAAGGGGTTTCTGCCCAGCCAAAACCAGACATCAGATGTACAGTAGCCACATTCATACTGACTGTTTACTCGTTAACTGCCCCACCAGATTGACGTTGACGCCGATTGCTTACTTGTGTTTGATGAAGAGTGCTAAAGGGAGGTCGCCTTGATTCCAGTTCTTACGTTCCTGTGCATGTCCTTATAAAGTATCACAAAACAACAATTGTGATAGCTCGTAAGACGTTTTTAAGTATTGTTCAAAGTTCTTTTTTTATCGAAAGATAAAATTGCACACCGGTATCAGCCTTTACACTTGTTCATTGCATAGCATGCACGGTCCTGTAAACATATATCCGCTTATAACTAACAGCTTGAAAAAGATTCCTCCCGAAAAGTACGTAAATAAACACTATTATAAGTAAATGAATAAATAATATCAATAAATTAGTAAATAAAATACAAGTAAAAGAAATAAAACCAAAAAAGAGACAATTAAAAGGTATAATATTCGCGTTTGAAAATGTTCAAGTCATATTTTCCATGCCTATACATATCCTTCTGAAATGTACGGGAAGACAAGGGTAGTCATTTAGAACCGAATTATTTAATAAGAAATGGTTTAAGACAGCAAACCCAAGTGCAGGGACTGGTCAAGCATAGATTTGTGAATAGGATGGGTTGGAAAAAATTGTTAAATTTCTAGGAAAACTTGATTTGGCGTGAAAATCCAAAATAGAATATTTGTAAGGTCTCCTACAGAACTTTTTAAAGCAGAAGTACGAACAAATTGGAAATGAAATAAAACTTGTGTCCTTTTCATGCAATGGTCATTGAAAACGATTTTTACGTCTAACAGTCTACAACTGTGAGAACTTAAACGTTTTATTATTGACACATAACCGCATAGCGCAAAGAGAGCCAATAACAATGTTTCAAGGTCTTTGCTGGTGCCAGAAAGTGCTTATTCAAAGAGAACGCCAATGTGTATGCATATATACGAAAAAGCCCTTTTAGGCTTCGCACCCTTTATATTCAGATTGATCTTTCTGTAATGATTCTGAGAATTGTTTTCACTAATGAAGAAATGTTTCCTTATCTACTTGTGCTGTGAACTGTAAAAAGCATAGTTCTAACATTTTGTTCAATCTGGCAACGGCCAACTAGAAAAGTTCAAACTAGTCACGAAGTTCATTACTTAAGATTAAGCCCTTGTTACACCGGGGCTGAGGACCGCTTGAAGATCTAATTATTACCCACTCTCATAAACACAGGTTGCGTTCAACAGAACGGACCACATTCTATAAAGGACGATAAAATCTTTGCCAGTAGGGCTGATGCCATGTTGTTTGTAGCAACAGGTTTCCTAATTTCTGTAGTTTTCAGAAATATATGGGTTGTATACATGTATAGTTTGCAAACAGGTAATAAATGGCGTTTACATTCTGGGGTTACATTTTTCTCTGGGACAGCCCTTATGAGAGAAAAAGGCTGCACCATTTTAAGTTTATTAACGCTGGTTATGGCTTTCATGTATCAAAAATGTCAAAAACCAAACATCGCAGGGGTGACAGTGGGCAAAAATGTGTTCCCTAAGAGGGCAAGCTCATAGTAACAGGGGCTTTACCCCTTAAATATTTTTCACAATAATCGCTGAGACTACTAACTGGATTCCAAGTTGAATGTCTCATTTCCAGGAACAATTAACAGATCTCATTAGCCTATTGGACGTAAATGAACTGATCGGATTGAAACATCAGTAGTTGTTTTTAAGTGTCGTTACTTCGCTTTCGTCACACCTGGCGTTGATACATTCCAGACTGTGGGTTTTATTTATACCAAGGGTACCTAGGGCATAGCAACTTAACACCACTGTTTGGTAAAACTTGACTTAAAAAAGGGAAACATTGGAACATGTTATTTAACGTCAGTCGATTGAAAATGATCAACATGCACTGACTCATGGATAACAATTGGGTCTTCAACTTTGGTTGAATAAGACAGCTATATATTTGCTCCTGGTAAACAGAAACCCTTCGAGTAGGTGACTTGGTCTTCTATTTATCATTACTGTGTTCTGCCCATCAAAAGCGTTGTGCGCAGAAGTAATGATTGAAAAGTGTGAATGATTCATTCAAAACCAGGACTTTACGTTAAGGAGATGGGGGGGGGGGGGGGGG